GACAGAGGGAGACTCCGTCTCAAACAAACAAACAAATGAAAAAAACACAGTAACTACTCTGACTTCATATTCTCTTAAAATTTATGGCAATTAAATCCTCCTCATTGATAATAAATAGTGTCTTAATCAGAAAAATTATGCATTTATGTACACTTATGTTGTATTAATAAATACAGTGCAATTTTATGATGGAAAAATACAAAACACAGGATATGTTTTTGTTTTTTATTTTCCAAATTTCTATTTATCTCTACTGGACATGACCTTTCCCTGCTGAAAATGCTGCCATTTCACACATCAACTTAATTTACTACCTTCATTGTTTGCACATAATCTGTAAGTCAGGAGTGGTGAGTACGGATTCCCTGAACCTTGGCTGTGTGAAAGAGCTTTGTGTGCTAGATCTCCTTCTCTTTGTAGCTCATAGATGGTTATAAAAACTATATATTTATATATGTTTCCTTATGAAAGGGTTATCTTATTTATGTTCCCTGACATATCTTTAGAATTACTGTCTAATGATTAAACTAAATATTTCTACATTTCATTATTTTATCTAACACACAATTTGTTTTAATTCCATGCTATAACATATTTCAGTCTATATAACAAATACAATGAATATAGAAAGAAGGCATTGGATTTATTTAGTGCTCTGCAACTCTTAATTGTGTGGCTACGTGACATTACAAAATGGTTTATTTGATCATTCAGTAAAGCATACCACATAACAATTTGCTTTTTGATGAGAATCAATTGCGTATTGATTTGATGATGGCTTTCATCGGCAGCTATGGCAGGAGTGAGCTGGATATTTATTAAGATCTTGGGTCCTAGACTGTCATTATTTTATCAAAGACCATGAATGATTTCTTACAATGAATTCCTGAACATGATCAATATGCATAATAACTTTTTATGTTCTTTACAAAAACAAAAGAATATTTTTAAAAACTTGGCAAGAAATATGATAAATGCCCACAATGAAACTAAAAGAACATAAAGCACATGATATTACTGTGGAGAGCAGACTGCTGAGAGGAATAAGAAGGCATGAAGGAAAACGTGGTAGAGTTAAAATAGTAACATAAATAGAGATAGTCTATGCTTAATGAAACAATTAAACATCTCATTTCTCAATGTCAAGTGTGGACCCCTAAACAGATGTGTAACTAGAAATTTTTATGCTGAGGGCAAGCGCCAAGCATTTTTGTTTCTGCGTCCCCTTCTGCCACCATTCTGCCTTCAGGCCGTCCTCCCACCTCCCTGTGACTTTCATGCTTTCGCTCTATTTATAAATTGTGGGCTTCCTGTGTCAGGTTACCTGGCCCTCTAAGTCAGCAGAGGATTGCCATCATGGCAAAAAATGCAAAGAAGTCATTCTCGGCTGGATGACGCTCTCAGCATTTCCCCCACTGCTGAGCCTCTCACCACCGAGTTACTTCTAAAGGATTGCATCACGCCAAATAGCATAAACTTAAAAAAAAAAAAAAGTAAAATCTCATCAAATGGTAAGTAGATAAATGTCATATTCCTTTCATAAACGCTGTTTAATTCCAAAGCTAATTTAGAATACTTCTATAACCTACGAAATTCTAGATTTGCATCCTGGGAACTGTCACAAAGCTCCGTCAAGGGCCAGTGAGTGGAATTCCATGAAGTCGTATCTCACAGCCAGTTTTATTCATGCCCAGTGCTTGGGAAGTGCAAATGAACACAGCCTCATGCGCAGCGCAGTCAATGTCTTGGCTTTTGCTATTTTCAAACACTTTATGTAAAATTAATGTTCACTACTTTTATGTAAAGCCATTATAGTTTTCAAATTAATAAAAAGTTATAATGGAGTACAACATCAACTACATTTTCTATATTCTTTTTCTACATAAGCCACCACCATATACTGAGGATCCAGTCCTATCAGAAAATGTTTTGCAACTATTTTGAGAACAAAGGAAGAGCTTGTACACAGATTGAAAAAAAAAAAATACTTGTTTGGGTGTAAAACTTTATGGATAATAACAATAAAATTAAATGTGTATATTAGTCAAAATTCTGATTTCTAAGTAAAGGAAACTAACTCTGAACATGTCAGGCAGGTAGAGGCTTTATTGGAAGGCTAAGGAAAGACATGAATTTCGACAAAAAGGTCTGGCAAGTGACTGAGGTGGATGCGGGGGCTGATGGCTGGCATGCTCTGAGCAAGGTTCTTCTCTGACTAATATTCTTCTGCTGGTGCTGCATGGAGCCACTACTGACCAATGTCACCCCATGGAGCCAGGTCAGTTGTTGTCCCTTCCATTATATGTCCCTCGCTCTGCATCTATCATAGGTAGGTTAACTGAACCCATCTTACATGTATTTGTCCAGCTGTCAAAGCAGCAGGGGAGGAAGAGGGAGTCCCTTTCCTTGTATTTTCATCATGGTAGGTGCGAAACTTAAATGTGGGACTGGCAGGAAAAAGCCAAATCACAAATGTGCACTATCACTACTGAAGACTTTTATTTTTGAACCAAAAATTCTTTAAGCTTTATGAAACAGGCCAGGTGCAGTGGCTCACGCCTGTAATCCCAGCACTTTGGGAGGCCAAGGCAGGTGGATCACTGAGGTCAGGAGTTTGAGACCAGCCTAACCAACATGATGAAACTCCATCTCTACTGAAAATACAAAATTAGCCAGGTGTGGTGATGCACACCTGTAATCCCAGCTACTTGGGAGGCTGAGGTAGGAGAATCGTTTGAACCTGGGAGGTGGAGGTTGCAATGAGCTGAGATCATCCCATTGCACTCCAGCCTGGGCAACAAGAGTGAAACTCTGTCTCGAAAAAATAAAATAAATTAATAAATAAATTAATTAATTTTATGAAACAGTTAAATGACTCCTCTGTTCCTTTTAGCGGATTATGATAAGTTCATTCTCAGAAACGGAACATATGATCTTGATTTCCATTCAAACTGTGGACTCAGTGAATTTTCCATATGATCTTTGGCAAATTACTGACTCTATTTTCTCTTTTCTTTATCTACCATAATGCCCAGACATTTTATCTTCCTTGAAGGGAGTTTATTAAAACTGCTGATGAGGCTAATGAAAATATAGACATCCTTAAAGAGAAATTTCATTTTTGGTCACCATTTAATTTTGCTGCTACACTGTAGCCCAATGTGTCTGGGACTGGATTTTATAGAATTTCTATTTAATTGCATTAGTAGAAAAGCTAAAAAGCTGCTTCTCTGTATGTGTCCATACTTCTTGTATAAATGTCACATGAGAGATAAATTCTGAAAGCCATTAAACACATAGTTTCACATAACTCTTACAGCTTCTCACCAGTAAGGAATCTGTCTCATCACGTGAGTGCCCACGATTTGCATGAAAGAAAATAAGCCTGGGTTTTCAGTTTCCTTGAGAAAAAGAAAGTGCCCCAAGATGACTGGCAGTTCCTGCCTCATCAGGGATGTCTACATTTGAAAACAAGGCCTCTTTGAAATCTGAGACTGGAAAATGATTCCTGGTGACCTTTCCCATCTCTCTTTGATTCTTAGCCAAACACAGAGGAAAAGTCACAAAGCAGCTTACTATATATACCTTCTTTCAAATGACTCTCTTTGTCTAAGAACCACACTGTAAGGGCAGGCCTGGAAAGGATGTCAGATGGCCTAGCGTTGTGTTATAATGTACAGGGGCAGACCTGGAAAGGATGTCAGATGGCCTAGCGTTGTGTTGTAATGTACAGGGGGCAGGCCTCTGATACAAAAATCAAACCAGTGTTCGTGACCAGGAGGTTCCCCTCTGCACCATCTCAGAGGAAGCATCTGTGATGCTTACAAAGTAAAGTAGATGCATCTCTAAGGAACAGAGGGGAGATTAGGACAATCTATTATTGCAACCAATCAGCATTTTCTTTCTATTTCAGTGCCTGGATATCAGTGCAAGTGATTTCAGAAGATTGCCTACTGTAAGATTTATTCTTAAGATTCAAATTATTGATTTTTCTCACTACCTCATCAGTGTTATTTAGAAAAATCTCCGCTGATAATATGGCTGTGCCTCTATAATGCTAAATATTCCAAGGAAAGCTGATCATTAGCCGGATACTTGATTTCATGGAAACATCTGGATACTTGGCTGAGGTTATTTTAGATTTTTATGTAGATGTTTGACATAAAAATTGTGCTGTAACTTTAGATAAAATGAGAATCCTGTTGCTAAAGCAATAGTGTGTTAATATATTGATAACAACGTCTCCCTACTTAGCGGTTTGTGCATCACCATGAATGCAACATTATCTATTTTAAAGATAATTATTTAAAGTATATTTTAAAATTCAACATAAAAGGAAAATAAAACACTACATTCTATAATATAAATTCTTTTACTTTCTAAAAGCACCAATGGGTTTTTTTTTCTTCTTCTTGAAGTGATAATCTTGTTTATTTTGGTGAAATTGTTAGGAGCAGACACATGAAACATTTATATGGAATCAGTAATACACCTCCAAACAGTTTTGTGGACTGCAATCTCATTTTGATTTTACCATGTTCTCATGATATGTCATATTTCAAATCAATGTGAATTACATGGAAGTGAATGTCACAACTGAGATAAAATGCATGCCACGAAACCACAGGTGGTTCCCAGGTATGGTCACTAAGAGTCGTTCTATTTTAGCCAAGGCCAAATGCATAGCAACTTCATTCAGCAGGTTTAATACCATCTTCAACCGAGAATAATTTTAAACTACCACAACATAAATTAAATCTATAATATTTCATTTAAAACTATTATGTTTTAGTTTTTTTGGACATTATTCTTTATTTTGGAAACAGGTGGAAAATTGTAGTCAGCTGAGATGGAGAGAGAAGACCATTCAGCCCGGCAGAGGTGAGAACAGCCGAGCTCTGCAGTCCACACAGAGCATCTATTGGTAACAAGTTAATGAATGTCTTGTCATAACTGAATTCCATTTGTCACTGCACATGTGAAGAGATAGACGTCATTACCTGAGTGGTGTGACTGTCCCTGTGTCTCTGAAATGTCGAAGTCCCTGTGCCACTTATAGACAACCGTGAGTATCCATCTTCTTCAGGTAAACCTATTGAGGTCAACACAAATCAGGAGTTAAGCAGTGTCTCCTTGTTTCAAATAAAGTAAGTCATGCACTCATTATAATAAACTAGAATTGTTATCTTTTACAAATTGAAATGATGTTCCTTACACACAAACTAAATACTAAATTTTGCAATGGAACATGGGCACGCACAGTATTGTGGCAGCTTCATTTAGGAAAAGAGGGCATATCCTGCCAAAGGAGATACAATGATAATAAAGAAATATGTGATAATAGCACAAAAGTGAGCAGACAAGTATTGGAGGGGAGAAGGGAAACTTCCAGATACTGAAAAGGTTTGAAGACGCTTCCGGGGTCGGTGACGGGCCCACTGAGTAGCTGGGGTGACTGCAGACAGCAGAATGTGGCTGCCATTCATAGGACTGCAGGGAGACAAGGAAGGCATTCGAAGTCAGAGCATGACTAAGCCTGTGTGTCCGATGAATTCCACTGGCTGTAGTTCATTTTGTGCACAAGGAAGCAAAGAGATTGGCTGAATTTCCACGAGGAAAAGGTGGGGAGAGCTGCTGATTCACAACACACCAATTCACGAGCAACCACGTAGAGTAAGTTACAGGTTTATGAAACTTTACATGCCCTCCAACAACATGAAGTCACTATGAGGCACCAAATGATTTTATTAATTATCCTTTAAGATCAAAGCAGTTTCCCACCCTCCGCACTATTGGCATTTTGGCCTGTATAATTCTTTGCAGTGGGGTCTGCCCCATGCATTGCAGGATGTTAAACAGCATCCCTGACCTCCACCCACTGGATGCCAGCAGCACCCCCATTTGTGGCACCCAGAAATGTTCCCAGACATTACCAAAAGTTCCTTGGAGGGCAAAGTCATCCCCTCCTACACTGGCTGAGAACCACTGTGATACAGGCATCATGCATCACCGAAAGTGACTTCGATTAATAAACATGAATAGACAAAAAGAGAAATAAGAACCCAACAAAATGAATTCAACTCAGAGAACTTTAACTACTGAAGTGATTACTACTCCCCTCTGAAAGCATAATTAACTAGCACAGTGTAATTGATTAAACATATACATGATTCCTAAATTAAAAATCATTAGACAATCAGTGCACACTTCTCCGATTATAGGAGAGAGTTCCTCAGGGAAGTCTACACAATCCTGACAATACATAACAAGTCCTTCCCAGTGATCTTGTTACACGTCCAGATACCTTGGTATGGAAAAGCTAACTTCACGAAGACTGGGCAGACAATGGCTGGAAAACAGATCTCAGCCATAGGCAGCAGCAATAGCCTCAGGTGCTACATGGGAATAGTGTCCTTAGACACTGTGGCAGCAGGACACAGGAAAGGCCCCAAACACAGTGAGTGTTGGAGCAGCCTGAAGTTCACACAGGCAGAAGGGAGCATGGCAATTCAAGATCAGGCACAATATGAAATTTCAGGAGACTAGATAAGGCAGATAGTTGGAAAAAAAACGTGTTTCCAGGTAGTAGAGCACAACAAAGGACTTGGGATTCATGTGAAGGACCCCCTCTTAGAGGGGAATAAAGGATGGGGTGCTGGGACGAAGGGGCTAATTGACAAGCAAGATAAACCTTAACTTCTACAAGAACCATAAAGAAACCAGTTCGCCAGGAGAAGACAATTGTGATCCATTTTTCAAAACTAAATTATAAATTAGAAGTTGGGGATGGATGCGGTGGCTCACGCCTGTAATCTCAGCACTTTGGGAGGCTGAGGTGGCAGATCACCTGAGGTCAGGAGATCGAGACCAGCCTGGCCAACATGGTGAAATTCCATCTCTACTAAAAACACAAAATTACCCGGGCCTAGTGGTGCACACCTATAGTCCCAGCTACTCGGGGTGCTGAGGCAGGAGAATCGCTTGAACCCGGGAGGCAGAGTTGCAGTGAGCCAAGTTTGTGCCACTGTACCCCAGCCTGGGTGACAGAGACTCCATCTCAAAATAAATTAAATAAATAAATAAATAAATAAATAAATAAATAAATAAATTAGAAGTTGGATCTCAGAATCAAAACAGAAACTCAATTGAAAGGGTACAAGCTCAGAACCGAATGGATAGCCTGCTGAGCACTGCACAGGGTCAATTAAACTAAGGTTAAAAACATTTATGAGCAACCTCTGCATAAGGCACTGGGAAATACAATGAAGAATGAAGAAAAGTCCCCACTCTTGAGGAAGTCATAATTCAGTGAGAATGACACTGAAGCCAATCACACAGCAGCATGATTTCAGGATTAAGAGGAGTACAGGTCACGTTGAACAGGGTCTTGGAGAAGGCAAGCATTTATTCTGATGGAAGGGACTAGAGGAAACTTCATGGTGGTGTTGCCAAAGGACCTGGGCCTTCCAGGAGGAGGAGAATTGTGGAGGGTGAACAAGTCGAGAAGGACATGCCTGGCTGAGAGCACCAATGTGATAAGGCAACAAAACACAAGGATGCTTCGCGGAAATGTGACCACACTTTGGAGACGAGAGGAGGCACTGCAGACATCCCAGAAGAGACGTGCTGCCGTTTTATCTAAGTCATGAGTTCAAAGGTATTTCAGTCGTAACTGTTGACTAAAGAAAGGATGGGTCCCAGAACCTGTCAGGGCTCCACAGACAGGGACGGATGCAGTGTGGGCAGGTGCTCGCATGCAGCTGTGGAGGGCCAGGTGAGGACAGTGGGGAGGCAGGCAGGTGCGTGGGTGCTGGGGGAGACTGGCATGTGGAGGAGGGGGTGGGACAAAGGACTGAGCCCGAGAAGTCAGAGGGAAGGGGATTTTGGAAGGTTGTAGCAAACAGGCCAAGGGTCCTCATCACGGCCAACTCACCAACGCTGTGAGAACTGGAAGGGGCAGAATGACAGCCAGGAAGCGCCAAAGGTGCGAAGGAGCTTACACGGCAGGAGGGTTTTGTTTTGTTTTGTTTTTTCCAGCACAATATTTTATTTCGCTGCCATATTAGAAGCAGTACCTTTTTAAGGCAAATAATTTTAAAATGACATCAAAGGCACAAACCATGAATTAGAAAAACAGATTCATATCTCTATATAAAAATTAAAAATAAACATATTGATGATGCCCTAAAAATAAAATGTGTATTTTAAAAGAACAATGTAGAACATTGAAATATATTAAATAAGAGGCTTTTTAAATTCTTGAAACATCCTACAGATCAAAATAAAGGACCTTCTCCCAGATATTAAACAATGGACAAATAATAAGTGTAGAAAATAAAGGAGAAAAAAAATGAAAGACTAACAAGTAATACACATATTCAATTCCATTAAGAATTCCAAGTAATGGATATGAGACTACAGTAACATTCATTTTATCTATCAAAATAACACAGTTTTAAAACTTTTTATTACAAACATTTCAGACATAAAGAGAACATGTAGTGAAACTCCATGCACCCATTCCAAGCCTTGGGGCTGTCAATTTTATCCATTTTTATCCATTTTTTATTCATTTTTCACTTAAATCCCAGAACTCATGTCATTTCAGCTGTAAATATTTGTACATGTGTCCCTAACTGACAAGAACTTTTTTTTTTTTTTTTTTTTTAAACATAGCAAGGATTTTCTCACACAGCTAACAGGAACATTGCTAAGCAAAGGCCCCCAGAAAAGTCCCACAGTCTTGTGTGGGTAGAGATTCCCATGGCGCATTTTAACCAGGGTGAAGACTCCAATCGTGTTGGAGGAACATTTAAATTGAAGATAGAGCTCTTTATCTGTGCCTTCATTAAAGGGTGGAATTCTGTCCGTGAAGAAGCTTCTGCACATTCTGAGAAGCCTCCTCTGCTCCTCGTACTGCAGCAGTCTTCTCCCCAGACCAGGCTTGGAGTTAACAATTCCCAGCTTAGAGATTCATGTGTCCCTTGCTGAACATATTCTTTCCAGGGTCGCAACAGTGTGCTTCAAAAAGTTGAGCTTTTGGTCCATTTGATACCAAACTATTTCAAAAAGTCATTCTTGCCCAAATGACAGCAAGTCAAAGTCTTCTGAAACTGCATCCACTCTACCCTACCCTCCAGATATCCAGTTTTTCTGCTCAAAGAAAACATGCAGATGCTCAGGGAAGGAATTCCCCAAAGCTGATCTTCATGGCCTAATGGATACACTGTGGACACTCCATAGAACCTGCTGTTGTTCCTTTAAACTTGGGTGGGCAAAAGTCAAAAAGGCTTTGGCCTTGATTGAGGGTTTAGCAGGAAGAAGCAGCCTCTGCTCTTCCTCTCCTCCTGAATTGGAGGCTGCTCAGAGCACTGAAAATTAAACCTTCCTCCAGGACACAAAGAGGAATGGCTTTTAGGACATCCTCATCACTGTGAGGTAGACCTGGTCCCTGGAGTTCTGTGTGATTTTTTCAGTAATTTTGAAAAGTGAGAGACTCTGGGGCCATGAGGTCTATATGCAGAGCCCAGTGGGTTCATGCAGATTCTTATAAGAAGACAAGAATGAGGGCCAGGTGTGGTGGCTCACGCCTGTAAACCCAGCACTTTGAGAGGCCGAGGCGGGCGGATCACGAGGTCAGGATATCAAGACCATTCTGGCTAACACAGTGAAACCCCGCCTCTTCTAAAAAGAATACAAAAAAAAAAAATAGCCGGAGGTGGTGGTGGGCGCCTGTAGTCCCAGCCACTTGGGAGGCTGAGGCTGAAGAATCACTTGAACCCAGAAGGTGGAAGTTGCAGTGAATCGAGATCGTGCCACTGCACTCTAGCCTGGGCGACACAGTGAGACTTCATCTCAAAAAACAAAAAACAAAACAAAACAAAACAAAAACCAGACAAGACAAGAATGAGACAGAGACTTTCAAGGGGGGTATGGCACTGAATTTCACATGGCTAACCAGTTGGAATCTGTTAGTCAAATCTGTCATTTTGTAGGGACCCAAACTTGTTTAGTCAATGGCAAGGTGGTTTGAATTCTCTTTTTACATCTGTCCAGCTTTCCAAGTATTCCATTACCTTTAAATCCACTCCC